CCAGCTGGTCAATCCTGGACTTAAATATATACTAAATATATAATAAACACACATAGACAAACAGTCACAGAAACATATCCTTATCCTGATACCAAGGTGTTTTAGTGAGATTGAGTTATCTGATTAGTCGCAGAAGTGAGTAAAAAAGTAATAAATCAACTAAAATGCACATCCGCATCTTTATTATCGAGTGAATATTTCCCATGAGGCCCTTCGCCATTCATTAATTTGTTTTCTTGACATCACAAAATGCAGACAAACCTCATAACTTTCCTATATTCCAACAATCATGCAGTTGTATTCACTCTCAAAAGTCTTGTAAAATAAGCTGTGAAGCCCAGAGAAAACATGTTTCACCTTTTCACTCTTCTAATCTCGTAGACATGCTCAATAAATCACAGCATGAAGTTATTGTAATAATATTACCAAGTGCAGTGATCATGTCATGACAGCTACCTGATTTATTGGCATTTCTGAGACTAAATGTACCTGCTCAGTCTATATTACCTACATTGATAAGATATGTATTAACATTAGCAACACATGCTCGTAGGTTTACTGTATTAAAAGGCACAGCACAAAAACCAGAACTGCAGATGAATATGGTCTAGCATGACTATAATACGGTCATAACAATATTAAAGATGGATACATTGTCATTCCATCCCATACACATTCACATTACCTTAGCAAACACAAAAACGCTCTTTATTCTAGGTTATATTTCTGAGCGTATACACATGTTGCAGTTTATATTAGTATATCCGAAGGGACTGTGTCTCTGCAGTAAGTGTATCTCTGTAGGCTCATGTCACATTGAGTGCACAAAGCTATGGTGTTTCCCCATTTGTAGATCCCCTTTTGACTTTATCTATAAAATACAGAAAAACTAATATGTTTGAAGCAAACCCTACACATGCAAACGAGTAACAAGGTTGGTGCTTGATTTGCAATGACCTGCGACACTCTGACCCAACCCAACCCAACTCAGTCCTAAATGATAGCAGGTCTTTCCAAATCACATACCAAAAGATTTTGTGGCAATACACCGGCAGACTGCACAACAGCACATGATCAATATAAATGAAGAAACCTCAGTGGTAGAGAGTCTG